CACTGATTATGAAGGAAGCCAAGAGCCTGTTTACTTCTCAATCTTATTGTGAAGATTACTTCATCTTCTGTGAGATGGAACTTAAATCAAATTATGAGATTTAGAATTATGTGATGAGAGTTGCAATTAGAGGCAAAAACTGAGGTTGAAAGAGATTTTGAACAAAACTCCATTTTGTCATTTTTGTGCTTTTTAAAGATTTTAATATTGTTGAAAACTTAATTACCTATTCTCCTTTAATCCATCCTGTATTATGCATCTATAATCCTTAATTTGAGAGAATGGACAATTGATCTGTTAACAGGTCTCAGCACAATGTAAAACTGCAAGAGGATCTAAAGAAGTGTATAAATGTGATCTGGGTTGATCCCTCCTCTAAGTTCTCCTATTAGAAAAAATCTCAGCCACACTTGAATTCTTCTCTCGTGAGCCAGTCAAGATTGTAACACATTGTCATATCCTCCTGTTGCCTTTACATAAAAACAATGCAAAATACCGCACATACTGGATACTGCAGCACTGAGTGGTGACCTGCTCATGGATGTTGGTTTAGTTATGGGCTTTTACAGAGTAATGGACACTCTTTCAGTTCCAGTGAACATGTATTTAATAACATACTGTTCACTTCTGAGTTTCACACCAGATAGCATTTCAGCATTTAACTTCCCAATTAACTGAGAATTTAACCCAACATTCTATATTCAACTGTTGGGATATAGATTTCCAGAGCAGTGTGGAACACTTCAGGGCAAACTAGGGGGAATACACAGAGGTAAGTCATTGACCAATGAAACTGACAGACAGGGAAGCCTTTGAAGTGTGGAATTGCAAAGCTGCGGCCATCCTCTGTGAAAGATTGGTTCTGAAAGCCTGATTTAATTACTTTAAGGGTGACATGCAGTTTTTTAGAAACTATTTCACCTGCACTGGATATTCCTCAACTTAATTTCCACTTCACTGCTCTCAGCCTTCACTGCAGCTGGGGATCAATTTCTCCAGCCCTCGCATGGTGTGCAGCGACAGGAGCAACCAAGCCAACAGTTGCAAGAACACCAGTATCAGTAGTTTCATTCTTCACATGGCAGAGGGATGGACAAACAGCTCCATCTGGAAGGATGCAATAGCCCTGCACTGGATGTACAACAGTATGTATCAATAGGCTCGATCAGGAGGCTCAGGCAATCGCACTGTTGTGTCACTGGCATCTGGTACCCTGCAAGGTGACCTACACTGCAATGAGTGGATCCCCTCAGGTACAGGCCGGTATTGACTGCACACACACAGCAGTCAAAATGTCCTCAAATCAGCCTGAAGTGTTGATCAGTGGCAAAGGATTTCACTTTCTCAGTGTCCAGATTGTTAGTGACAACTGGAGGATTTGCATAAATGTCTGTAAAATATCCCGGAAGCTATCATCATTTGTTCATTCTGCAGCAATTACATTTCTCAAAGGTTTTTGCCTCTCCAGAATTGGGATCTATTGTGCCCTTCACAACATCACACTGCAGACAGGAATAGAGCAGTAGGAATGTGGATACAAATTGGTTTACAAGGAGGAGAAGGAAAAGGAAATGGCCTTGGTTCCAGCAACCTCTTTCCCTTGGCTGGAAGGCACATATGGAGGTGCATCATCTAATATTTGTGCTTGAAGGCATCTGAGAGTATCATCTGAGCTCTGTGTCTCCCTCAAAACCCCAAAGCACAATTCATTCCAATAAAAATCCACTTCCTTCCCATTAAAGCTGATCATACCATCCACTTCCTGGCTAATGTCACCTCTGCATGGACAAAGGAAGGCAGCGTGTAGGCATCTATGAAAAGAATAAGAAGTTGGAACATCTTGACAACAGTTCTCATTGCCGTGTACTCTCTCTCCATCTTCACTCATAACCTACTTGAACATTTCTGTTAACCAATAGCTGCAAAGTACTTGGCTACACATCAGTAAGGCATTGGCCCATACAAGTTCCTCTATCCTTTGTAAAGGGCGGTGTGAGTGTACAGGCCAACATGCACTAGTTGGCCCTCTGTATCTGATTCCCATATAGGTGGCCAATCTTTTCATAGGGATGCATTATGCCTGAGATATCACAGCGCTCATGCTGGAGAGGGATTCTTACCATCTATCATGGTAAGGATGCACACAGATTCTGGAAGTTCTGACAGAATCATAGATAATTCTCAGATTCTACTTTCGACCATGCTTTTGTAAAGTCACTTCCTCACACCACTGAGGAAGCAGCATGAACCCTTCTGGCACTCACCGCCTCCAAGATAATCACCAGAAAGTTTAATAGAACCCAGTGGAAAGCCTTGCCAGAACTTCCAACTGTTATTAACCTTCCGAATCAGGGTTTCTTGCATACCCATTGCCAGGATCCCTTTAAAGAGAGAACCTTTCATTGACATGTGAGGCTGTCATCAGTTCCATATTCTGTGACTAATCGGTTTAACAGAGGAATTGGATGCTAAAATCGTGACAGAGCTAAAGACCTCTTCAATTACTGTCCTCCCTGCTGCTTATGGGACTGTATAGATAAAAGTCTCCCAAACATGTTTGAACATCCCACACAATTACTGTATTTCAAAATAATATATAAATATATAGAAAATAATGACACATTGCTGTACATGCTGAAACAACAGAAAATCACCTATCCCATTAATAATAGTTAGGTAATCAATTTTTTCCACTTTTACTTAATCCACAAGTTTTAGAACTATAAAGTAGGGTAGGTTTTGGAGCTTCATTAGCCATTAATTATGCTTCCATATGGATTCCATAGAATCCCTCAGTGTGGAAGCAGGCCATTTGGCTCATCAAGTTTACACCAACCCTCCGAAGAGCATCCCACCCAGACCCACCTCCATACCTCATCTCTGTAACCTTGCACATTCCTGGGTACTATGGACAATTTAGCATGGCCAACCTACCTAGCCTGTGCACCTTTAGACTGTGGGAGGAAACCGAAGCACCCAGAGGAAACCCACACAGACACAGGGAGAATGTGCAAACTGCACACAGACAGTTACCTGAGGCTGGATTCAAACCTGGAACCACCATGCTGGTCCTAATATTTTGTAATTTTATATTGTCCAATAATCTTGTACAAAACACTACCAAGCCATTACATAACACAAATTACATGCATGATAAAGTTGCTTCTGTCTACCACTCACACAAACCCTGCCAAAACTGAAAGGAACAGTTCAGTCGTGCTCCGGTGAATTTTTCCATTACACACTAGCTGTCATAAGTGCCATTTTTGGTACATATATTTTCCATTATTCATCAATTATAATGATAAAGTGGGAATGCATGTAAATGGGACGCAATTATTGAAGCTTGTGTCAAGCACAATAAAATATACTCCTCTCAGTAAGGTTACCAAGCAGGTACCAGATTATTTGTTGTGCACTCTGAATAGGTTTGAGATTTGTCAAATACGTTTTGTTCAGGGCTCATATAATCTCATAGAGAGATTCATTTTATCAATCTGGACTGGATTTGATCACAGAAGTGAAAGTACAGTGCTCTATTGGAATAGGATTTAATGCTTTTTACTTTACTACTTGCATTCTTATATATTAAGTTATCTTTACTTAATACCTCCATGTTCTAGAATATAAATCCTTCCATAACCGCCAGTTTGTGGGATATAAGGATGGATCTTAAGCATTTGCTTTTTTTAGCAATTGTTCATGGAATGTGTGTATTAGGACCAAACCAGAATTTATTGTCCATCCCTTATTGCCCTTGAAAAAGTGGTGGTGAGCTGCTACAGTGCATGTGGTGTAGTTACACCCACAATGCTATTACAGAGGTGTCTCAGGATTTTGAACCAGTGACAGTGAAGGAACAGCGTGTGTGTTTTGGAGATGGACTTCCAAGTGCACCTGCTGTTCTTGTTCTTCTAGGAGTTGAGGACTCATGTTTGGAAGGTGATGTTGAAGGACCGTTGGTGAGTTCCTGCAGGGCATCTTGTAGATGGTATACACTGTTGCCACAGTTTGCCAGTGGTGGAGGAAATGATGTTTAAGGTGGTGGATGGGTGCAAAACATACAAGCTGGATAACTCTGAGCTTCTTAAACGTTCTCACAATCTTGGAACGACATTCATCTAGGCATGCAGAAAGGAGATCAGCTTGCATCACTTTTTAGTTGGGAGTGAAAACCCACATGGCCAAACACCACCTCCCATATTTATGAGAGTGATTCCATTTCAATGAGATTAATATTTAATCCTCCCTTGTTGTATCCCCACTACAACTAATATTTATCCAATATGTTTCTGAACCCTTTGTTTGAAGGAGCTCACCTTAAAATAATTTTTTTGTTGTTTCACCATCAGGTGTTACCCGGAAGATTCACAAGCATACAGGGTTCTGAGTCTTTTGTTTACAATACATCATTGGCAGGTTAACATCTCAGAGTGTTTTCTAACAATATTTAAAGCAAGTAAAATTGGAGCCAAGAGATTCAGTTATCTTACACATACCCAACTGTAAAACAATGCATTCTAATCAATTGCGCCATGCTTGGCACTTCCTAGTCATTGCTATGCCAATCCACAGCACCAGACAGATTAGAATGGTCCTGATTCAATTTCTAGTTGGTTGATCAAAGAAGAGATGTTGAGAAGGGTACTAAAAGTAATCTGATCACATGGTCTTGACAAAGTTTTCACCTCCTGATTCCTATGCATTAATTGCTTCCGGAGATTGCGGATAACAGACATTGGGTGAAGACAGATTTGGGTGAGCTGTGACACATTGGTTGTCATGTCCCCATAGTAGAATGATCCACATTTCACACTATGTCCATGGATAGCTCAATCAGCCAATGGCGTCAAAGGGTTGCTGGTGCCTGTGGAATCATTCCATTTGACGAATCTTCATCTTCAGGAAAGGAAGAGATGTATGAACACAAAATGTTGTCTTCATTGGCAATTATCCCATGATTTTCCTGCAGGTGCTTATTTTGTTCACTGTGTCTTTAGGACCTGGAGAAAATTCTGGAATTAAAAGGTAAAAGTTTCAATCATCAGCTGGCTGCAGAACACAGAAAGACACAGGAGGCCCTTGATCTGGCAAAGAAGCTAGAATTGGAGCAACGCACCCTGAATCAAATGCTGACGGTATTGCTTTAACTGACCCATTGTAACATCATTGGTTTGTTTAAAACTTCAACAATGAATTGTGAAGCATAATGTTAAATTTAAAAAAACGTATTTTAGGTAAATGAAGATCCAGAATATCAAACTAATCCAAAGCAAATTAAGTTTACAAGAAGGCCTAATATTGGTACAGTGCAAAGCAAAATTAGTTAATTTATGTATTCCATTTTTCTAAAGAGAAGGCAATGCCTACCTCTTCATTCTAGTCTGTGTCCCCACCACCCCACCCTTCACTCTACTGACTCAGGAAATTTCCAGCGACTCTTCTGTGCCCCACCTAAGTGACCATTGTTCCCTTAGTTCAATTGTCCAATGTTGATAGAGTGTAATCCTTCTTGGGTATCATACCTAGACCTTTGCCTTTCCTTGTCCAATGTCTACACACCTTCCAGTAAGAGTTATTGCAAAATGATCAGGAGGAAGACCTCTGTCTGACCTTTCTCTTTTAAAGGCCAATAATACAAGCAGCTTCAGAGATACATCCTGGAAATTGTAATTAATGATAATGAACACACTAGCAAGAAACATCTCAGAATGACCTTTCAGTAGAAGTATATCATGTGTATGTATATATGTAAATGGAGATCCATTACTGTCCTTCAACTATGACATTCAACCTGTTCATGTTGAAATCCCATAAATCATGTTGTGCAATATTTGAGTAATTGTGCTTTTAAGAAAAAGTGTTATTCAAATTAACACCATCTTGCAGACAAAGTAAATTAGGTGTTTGAGGGCGGTTTTCCCTTAGCATAGAAGCAGCACACTTCTCCCATGCCCCAGGTGCAGAGAGAAAAGTGGCAATAAGTCTATGCCATTTCGCTCTCTGTTTTAGTGCAGTCTCACAGACATGGATTACCTTGCAGCAATCCAGACTGAATGGTGGCATCTAACTCATCTGGCAAGTTGAAAAATAGCAGGCTTACAGTCAGGATAGGCACTATTTCTTTATTGCAGTTATCCAAAAGAAAAACCTGTTTTCCAGGGCAAAAAATGCAATTTATTTTTACATTATTAGTCCTGAGATGTACTTCTTTTTAGAATTTTCTGTCTGGACTGCACTGTCATCAGGCTGTTTGACCTGTTCTAAGATTTACAGATAAATTGTATCTCTGTTTTCAATTGGTATCCACAATATAGGCTGAATTGTACCAGAAATTGGCTAAATTGGCGTCCCACTCATTGTATACTCCCGTTCGCCACAGGTGGAGGTACTGGCCTCTGCCAGGGCCTCCCAGGATTCCTGGCACCGATGCCATCTTTAAAGCTCAGCTGTGTACCTGGTCAAGTGCTGGTGGTCCGCAGCTGATCTGTCTGAGTCCCATCAATTGTGCCAGACGTTAGGCAGAGGGAAATTGATAGCCTGCTTTGGTGTCAGCAACCTGGAGATCCTGGTGTCTGGGATTGGGATGTGTGTATGGTTACTGACCATGGAATGTGTCCTCAGATGTTGGTGCCTGGTGTCCAAAATGGAGAGCTAGAGGAGCAGCAATGAACTGGAGTCACCAGTCCATATCAGGAGATGTAGTTTCTATCTGATGGGTGAGACAATGCATGTCTGCATGTCAATGAGGTGAAATGACATAAGAATGAGGATGCTAATGCTTGCACATTGGCCTCTTGCTGCTCACAGCAAAAATCTCATCTCACCATTCAACATTTGGTTGGACTTCTTTTTGAAGAGAAAAATCTCTTTACTGATGATCTCACATGATTCTCCCAACTTTATCAACAATGCCTACATTGTTCACAGGCTGAGAAGATTCCGCCCTGTGTATTTTGTGACACGGTCACTGCACTCGGGAGTGGGAACCATGACTGACTACGTTCCTCATCTTAGAGATAGTGAAGCAAGTTCAGGTACTCCAAAACTGTGCTTGCCTGGTATCAATTAACTCAGCCTCAACTCAAGATAGTTCCTGGCAATCCTGATCTGTAAATTTCAGTCTTCTCACACCATACAATGAATTTACCCACTGAAGGTGACTTATTTGATCCCTTTTCATTTCTAAACATCTGCTTCTTGTTGTTGCAGTATAATCTGTCATCAGTTTGATTTAGTTTAGTTTGAATCCTGTCCAATGGAAAAATACAGCTGTTACTTTAGCCTCAAGTCACTTAAAAATGAAATTACCCAATGCCTTCAGTATTTCATGATATTTTCACTTTTAAACCAACTAAAACCCCTCAGTAAACTAACAGTAACAAAATGTTATCATGTGTTTATTGAATAGAGATACTTTCACAGACAAGGGAACGTGAGCATTCTGATTGCTACAGCATGGGAACGGCACTCGAATATTGGTCTAATTCTTCATTTGAATCTTAAATCTTAGGATTACTGATGGCTTAGTATGGATAATTGAATAATCCGGAGAGCTGAAAGACCTTTGATTGATTCCTAGTTTGTGAGCAGCTTGCTCTGATTGTAGTTTGCTAGCATTGGATCTCCTCGAAATGGCAAACTTAGTCTAGACAAAGTAATCTAATATTCTCGCTGTTGAATTTTGCTCAGCCAGCTCTGCTCAGTGTGTCAATGTTTGTGTTTAAGGATACTGTGTTAAGTCCCTCCAGAGCTTGGCTGAAATAGATCCCGTGAACATTGAGTTTACTTGGCCGTAAAGTTCTAAAGTGTCTCAAGGTCACCATCAATGGAACTGTGGTGATTGACTGACATTATCCCCCAGGGGAGGGGTAGCAGAGAACCAATGTTTCCAAGAGATTCTGATTTAACTGGTAAAGGGTGGAACTTCCAAAAGGTAAATAATGGGCTTTTGGGAGAGTTCGGTGGGGTCAACCACCCTATCTGAAGAGGTCTTACCTTCTGCTTCCACAATGAGTGCTTTCGGCGGCACTGGGGACTTGTGCACCTGTTGAGCTTAAACGTAACTGCCTCAACCAGGGTACTTGTGCCCATGGGGCCCTAACAAGTGGACTTGATCCCCAAGAGGTGTCAATCAACTTGCCAGCATTTCCTTGCTCAGAATTTTGAGACATGTAACTTTGTGTTTTTCGTTACATAAATGAAGAGGGACAGGCAAGATTATTCCCTTCGGCATGGAAGAGTAGCAAATATTGTACCATTTTGCATATTGGCGTAGTTTTGGGCAATGTTTTGGGGATATTCCCCTAAACATAAACCCATGTGTGTGTAACGCACATGCCACCTTTCTGATTGTAGAAAAGAAAGGCATGGTTTATATAGAATTCAGCAAGTTGTCATTGCATGGATGCAACTGAAGCATGGAGTCCCAGGTATGAGAACAGAAGATGTGTTCTTGGAATTTTTCCAGCTCAGTTCATGAACTCCATTTGTTTAAGATCCATCCAAAATACCAGGAGGGAATGTGAGCCTGCATTACAGCATATATATTCTTCATGCAATACTATGATAAAGCAATATTTTCAGTAGTGTCTACACAAGAAATTTATATAAACAAACCTACTTATCAACGTCAGAAGTCACGCAACACCAGGTTGTAGTTGAACAGGTTTATTTGAAATCACAAGCTTTCGGTGCACTGCTCCTTCGTCAGGTGAAATGGGGGGAAGTGCACTGGAAATTCTTCCACAAACCCCAAAATGTCAGCAGTGAGCCCAATGAGACAATCAATGAACCGCATCAATTGACAGAGAGATCCACAGTGAAGCAACCAAAAAAGAGAGTTGAATTTGACCCCTCCAGAAGGCCGCTCTCCTAGGCAAGTGCGCATCTCTCCACTTCACCTTTCAAAGGAGGAACACTCCGAAAGCTCGTGATTTCAGATAAATCTGTTGGACTATAACCTGGTGTTGTGTAACTTCTGACTTTGTCCACCCCAGTCTAACACCAGCACCTCCAGATCGTGGCTACTTATCAACAACATGTATGGAAGTTTCATTTGGTTAAGGGGGTCTAACAAAATAGTATGTAACAGGCCATTGCTCATACATTGTCAATAAGAAGGCAGCAGTATTTTCTTAGTGATGTAAAATTAGAAAAGTACTTGTTCACTAAAATCATTGCATTTTTGTTAGCTACATTCAAAGTTAGAACTGAAAGTCTGAAGCACAGTTAGAACTGATCTTTGATTTTATAATTTGAGGGTACAAATATAATTAAAAATAATTCTGAATCTAAAATAACATGTATTGTTCAGGGCTGGGAAAGAGAAATAAACAAATTGTCTTGATTTGTTTTCATTCCAGGTCCTAGTAATTTACTCTCCATATTTTTTGCTTCTTTGTGAATCAGATTCCAAGTCACATACACTAGGATGACTCCACGATTAATTCCTGAAGGACGCTAAGAGAGGCAGCAGTAATCTGCAAAACTGTCCTCAGCATTCATGAGGCTGAAAGGGAACAATCTGCTAAGGTTCATATTCCACTTGTTGTGAGTGGTTGCCACATGAAAGGTTCTAGTGTAGATATTTGTTCAGATACACAATCTGGCTCAGTTGCTATTCCTCCCCCAGTTCCAAATGGCACATTACTATTGTTGATTTTAAGGCATTTGTGATCACAGTTACCTCATATAGGCAGCCGACAATTTATTGCCATTTTCTGACAGTTTGTTGAGAAGCAACAGTTCAGATATGCTACTTTAGTTAATTAGATAAAGAAAGGAAATTGTCATCAGGAATCTCTCATTAATGAAAATGATTGTCACCTAGGAAATTCCATGTCATTGGCCATGGGCTCTCCGAGTCTTTGCATGGATATTGAGCTTGATTCTAGAGCCACATCTCCAACTACACTTTTGGCATGTCTTTCTGGGAGGAAGAATTGGTCCTTGGCCACATGATTGCCATTTCCTCCAGGTAGACACCTTGTCTAGGACATCTTTAACATAGAAATGATGCTGCACATCAGAACACTCCAGTCTCTCCGCAGAAAGGAAGAAAGGAAACATATGACCTGTGACATTTGGAAACACTTTACCAATCCCAGAGCTATTCTGTTGAATGGAGGAGTAGAGG